CCCAATGGAGTGCAGTGTCAAATGTGGTGCAATTTGGACACGTGACACGTTCAATATTAGTATTGATTCATTTTAAATAAACAGACAGCCAGCGCTTTGTAGCAGCGGCAGGTGGGACTCAGCAAAGCAAGTGAGGTTGTTGATCGTGACAACAGCACGTTTACAACAACAAAAACTGCTTCTCCAGTTTACGGTTCTGCATTCTGAGCTCCGTACCGAGCTCCACTGAACTTTGAACAGACAGGTGAACAGCTCTTTGTGCAGCAGTGGTGTTGCAGCTTCAGGGTTTGAGGACTGAGCAGCAGGTCTTTACTTGCTGTGGCTTTATTACTGCAGGTCACTTATACAGTTAAAGAAGGAAAGAAATCACCACAGACTAAACAACAAGCCCGTTTCAGACAGGCATGTTTACAACGCACACTGCACTAATAGATTAAAAGGCAAAAGGAAGAGAAGCAGAGAAAATGACCTTCGTCCAATCCAGCTCAACAGGCTGCTCCCCTGGAGTCCAAAGACGGGACCTGTGCACTGTGATTTACTAAAGTTCACATCTGTAAGATAAAATGCATTGTGAGAAATGAATTTTGCTTGTTTGTGTCGCAGTTCAGACGACAGCTGATGACCTGAACGAGGCAGAGTAGCATCGTGGAAGACCAAACATACTGGACACAAATACTATTACCTGACTTGGCAACTGCACAGCCTACCTGCTGATCTTCAGAGGAAGCATTCACCGGTTAATGATTTCTCTCGGGCTCCTTAAAGTGCTTACTTAAGCAGCCCCATTCACCCTTCAAGACTATATCTAACCCCCTACACGGCCACGGAGTGCTGGCACGCCATCACGCCTGCCCATTGGGCTTTTAGTGAGCAAGGCTTAGACAAATCTCTTTGGTGAGGTTATTAGTATTCCCTGGGGATCAAATCCTGAGCCCTCTCAATTCTCCTGCTCCTGGATGAATGAATGAGGGGGTTAACACCATCAACGGGCCCACAGCCAGCTCAGGCCTCGCGCTGCTCCTGTGGGATGGGGACACCAGATGCCGCCGCATCTCACTTGTTGCACAATCAAGGAAATAATTGCTGCGCCTGACTTGGGCGTGTAATTCAATTAGGGCAATAAAGAAGCCGTTATTAATGTCTGGGACCGACACAAAGGGGAAAACATGACCAGAGCTACAGTTCTGTGTGAAAACAAAAGAATCTTAAGGAACACACCCATGGGCCACTTCAGGAAAATTTGGATTTCATCAACTCATACCAAAATGAAAAATGACGCTATAATTTCAAGTTAGTTTACACTTATCTCATGTTTTGTGGCATATACATCCCTATGGGAACTTGGGTTTGCAATGCAATCCGTTTTATAATTTGCAATATGATTAATTATGGATTTATTTAGCAAAGGAAAATATGCCCTGATTGGTTTCTTATCAGGAAACTTTTTACAGCCTCATTCAGAGAAAAAAAATCAATGCTGCAAGCCAGTGAATCTGTTCCGCCATCCATTATTAAAACTGTTTCAGGCATTCAGGAGAGCAGGCTGCCAGTGATGCTAAATAGATTAGGACGAGCCCTAATCCACGCATGTCTCATAAAAGCAGACCTCAGACAATGCTTTTCCCTCAGGGGATAATTTCAGTGACTTAAATGAAAAACAAGGAGCCCCCACATCCTGGGGAGCCACATGGCAGATGTTGGATGGAGCTGGAGGAGTGCATGTCCACAGCAGATCCAGTAAAGTTTGTCATTTGCGAGGCAGACACCACACTGATACCGGGGACACAGCCTGGAGGTGGAGGGTGAAATCCTCTCCCCTCAGTTCGCAGCTGCCTCACTTTCTTTCCATGACAAACATTATGGAGACACAGCAGCTGCGAGGACTTGTCAGCATCCAAGAAAATGAGATGCAATCAGAACGAAGCAGGTTGTTTCTGTTGAGATTATCCTCACCTCTAACTCCCACTTTTTTCACTCGCAAGGTGTCAGTCTGGGAACCCGCATTTTTACGCACGGCTTCAGAAATAACCCAAACCCGCCTTGTTGATCAGGACAGAAACCTTCTGCACGAAAGCTTTGTATATTTACACCCAACAACCAGCCCCACTCATTCACACCAGGTGCAAATCTCTGTGGAACCGAGCAGCCCGGCAACGCACCGCTCCAAGTGGCCGAATCTGTCGTTCCTCGCAGCAGACTGGTGATGGATGCTCTCACCTGGTGTATGGAGCTGCAGAAGGAGGGAGGCTCTCTCCTCTTTATTCACACATGCGGACCCAGGCAGGTTTGGAAGAGAGGAGGCGCAGCGTCGGTGGGGACAGAAGAAGAAGGGGGGGAAAAAGCTTGTTCTCTCCTGAAAGGCTGTTCCTGAAGAGCGGCGGGGTGAGGCGGCGGTCAGCCCGGCTGTCTGCGGGAGGAGAGGCTCTGTGCTCCGGCTGAGAGGGGGCGGCAGCAGCCTGCGAGACCCCGGAGCGCCAAGCCCGTCTGCGCGCTCAGCCGGGAGAGTGCAGCTGCTCGGTCTGACACGAGGTGGCAGTGTTGCACATAAGATGGCCCGCAGTAGAGGCATGTGGGGAGGGGGCTCCATCTATCTATCTATCTATCTATCTATCTATCTATCTATCTATCTATCTATTCATCTAGATTTTACTGTAGAATGTTTGATAAAATTATCAGCAAAGTTGGTTAATTTTATATTATGGCAGTTATTTTTCAACTATAACTGAAATCATAAAATGTCTTTGGGTCCCCTTCTTTATTTGTTAACAGTTTCATGAAAGGCACTGACTCATATGCACATCTGCACTGGACTATTGTTATTCTCTATTATCAGGATGCTCCAGTAATTCTGACCTCTAGTTGGTTCAAAATGCAGCAGCACATGTGCTGACAGGAACTACAAGAAGAAATCATATTAATCTTGTCTTATCTTCTCTTCATTCAGAATAGAACTCAAGATCCTCCCTTAACAATCAAGCTCCATCATTTACTAAAGTGCACATAGCCCTGTATGGTCCCTATACATTTGATCTCTGAATACAGACTCTCTTACAGTTCCTAGAGTCTGTAAGAGTAGAATGGGAGATAGAGCCTTCAGCTACCAGGCTCCTCTCTTGTAGAACCAGCTCCCACTCTGACTTTAAACGCTCCCTTTTGATAAAGCCTATACTTAGAGCTGGATCAGGTGAGCCCTGAAGTTAGTTCTGCTGCTATAGGCCTGGACTGCTGGGGGAACTACCATCATGCACTGACTTGAACTGATGAAAGACAAGTTCTCGTAAGAGAGAAAGAGAGAGGGAGAACTGCATTGATGACACAACTGCAGCTGAAACTATGAGGTCTGACTGACTGCGTGGACACTGGCAACATTATGGATCATAGTGCAAGCATGTGGTCGTGCGACAACATGAGCAAGCTCACAGCAAATAGCGCAATGTTAGTATGACAAGCGTGAATGAAAGTTATGTTTCATCATGAAACCGAGGAGGACAATTTAGAATATGGTGGGCTTCCACAGTGTTGGTAACTAATGGGCAACACTAGCATGTCACATGCTCATCAGGGGCAGAGCACCTGCTCTGATCGTAGACCTGCCCCTGCTATGCAATCTGTTTTGTGTTTGCAATGTTTATACGATATAATTCCAGTAGTTTTAGGTTTAATGTGCTTAAATGTGACTATTCTTTCCTGTTTACTCAGTTAATTACAACCAAAATTGCACTACTGGCAGGCGCACATTGTTCTTAACTGATGCTTAAAAAATTATATTGTGATCAAAGAATAGAAACAGTGGAAACACTGTGAAGTAAACGTAGAGCAAAATGACACATGGTGTAGCAGGAATATACATACAGCAAGGTTTGCCCCAGTGCATGCTGGGAAGACTCCCAACCCATCTACATTATGTACTGTAAATGTTTTCATAAGATCAGCACTCAGCCTCTCTACAGTCATGTTTGACTTCAAAATAAAAGAGAACACTGTTCACACAAGTCACTCACATGGAGTAGTTCAGGAACTGAATTTATGAATTCAAATTTCATGCTTCTTCTTATTTTAATTGATTGGTTATTAAGAACAGAAGCTCAAAATGGACATAATACTGAGACGTTAAACATGTCAGGTTGACTTTTTACAAGGTCTTATAGTTCCAGGTTTAAACAGTCATTGGATTAAAGGAGGAAAGAAGCTGATCATACACTACTGGTCTAAGTGTTAGTTTACTAGTGCAAAACAAGACATTGATACAAATGTTCAGTTTACCCTTGAGTGTGTGTGGTTTCCATGGAGATCACCTTGATGTGAACAAAGATGAAGAACTATATTTTTTTACAAGACTGTATTTTAAACACACACACACACACACACACACATTCCAGTCTAACTGACAAAATCACACCAGCAGAGGGAACCAAATTAAAGTAACAATTTCTGCCTCTGTAAACATGGTTGGTCTAATTTTTGGATGCACATGTGTGTGACTTTGTGTGTGTTTATGATGTTTGTCCAGGCATTACTCATGTTGTGGGGACCTAAACCTGTTTACAAAGTTACATTACGGGGACTTGTCCTCCTTGTGGGGACAAAAAGCAAGGTCCCATAACGTAAATCGATACATTTTAAATAGATGCGGAAATCCCCACCATCTGATTTTGAAGTTGCTCTATCTCTTCATATTGTTTTGTTTTGCTTTGTGTGTCAAGTGGCTTTTACGAAAATGAATTATATTCTCAATTACGTCTGTATGAGTTGAGAAAGAAAGACTGTGACACAAAGACACTGACGGACAGATACATTCAGTAGTTGTTCCGCAATCAAACTTTCATTCAATTTCTTGATTTGAGCAATAAGTTGAAGGAATATTCAAACCACACTGAAGCTAAATAAAAAGTGTTTTACACATCTTCTGCATGTTTTGTTTGGAAGAACCACAGACACATTCACAACAGCACAAATATTTAGACGAAGCATGACAAAAGTGGGATTAAATTGTTTCCATTATCATTTATTGACAAAGTAAGAATTACACCAACTGACAGGAAGAAGTTAAACATGCTGGGATTCTTCAGAAATTATTCGTTTAGTGCAACCTGCATGTCTATTACTGTTATTCACTTGTTTTACAGTTCAAGGAGTTGTTTTACAGTGTTGTTTTTATCATTAAATTCTTTAAAATGCTGATCAGAGGTTGTGCACATTAACACAGAAACATTTAAGAGAGAATCACAAGATATCTATGAATGAATTACTTTTTTTTTACTGATTGCAAAATAAGAGGAGAAAAATGAAAACTTACACCATAGATTCGACATTGAGGAAAACAAATTAAATCATTTCTCAGTTCTGTGCACTGAAACATCTAAGGACAGGATAGAACCTTCCAGATTGGTGCTCATTTAACATCTGCCACACTGATGACATTAGCGTGAGCACTTCATAACCAAACCAGAGGTGGTGACGACCCAAAGCTGGCGCAGGTCGTAGGTCACGTGTTTGATGGGCATGCACATTGGGATGTAAACCCAAGATGTGCCTTCTCTGCGAGAACTGCTGATGCCAGATCTGTTGAGAAGACAGTCATACACATGTGTTTATGAATAGACATGAACTGACAATGTCAGACGATTACACCACTGTAATTTTATGTTCACTTCTGATATTTATCTTTTTTGTTGCCAGATGTAATTCCCTTGAAGACCGAGACATGTATGGAATACTGTGCTCTTGTTGTGCACAGTAAAACACATATTTCTATGTAATATATAAGACTGTGAGGACCACTGACTTACCTTTGGTAGACCTTGCCAGTTGTAGTCACCCCAAAAACACTTCCGTCTGTCCCCACTTCAATCATTTTCATTGATAGCCCTGACACGTATGTCCAGCTACTAGTACTGCAGGAGGTTGGCGTGATATACTGTCATAAGAAGAACACATACATGGTGGTGTTGTCATGATCTGTGAGTGAATACAGTAAATGACAATGTGAGATGCTACAGTGACCAACCTTAGTGACATAAACACGGGAACTTGTGTCAACTCCCCAGCATCCATACTGTGGGCCACAGCTGTAGTACTTCAACACTCTACTAAGGTAACTCCAGCTGACAGAGCCAACTCCAGCATAGGCCAAAGCATAACTCTCTCTCAGGCAGTAGGCACGATAGGGGCTGGGCCCGACCCCGACAACCTGACCATCACCTCCAGCATCTACCTGCAGCAAACCCACACCTGAAGACCAACACATTATATTAGCATTACAGTGCTACAATACATAGTGACAGGCCAATTAGTCATCGAGCACTGTGTGAACAGTAAATGTAACAATACATTATACAGTAAACAAACATCATGAAGATCATATTAACAAAACTATATTAATAGTTACCGTTGGCGAGTTCAAAGTTTCCAGCTACATATTTGTACACCCTGTTTAAGTAGGTCCCCCACGTTCCTGAAGGTCCCACTGTGACATGCTGGAGGCTATATGTGCCCAGTCTGTACCAGGACGATCCACTCAGGAAATAGGCACGTTTGTATCTGTCCGTTGCAACCACTTGTCCCATTCCAGCGTCAATCTGATTGGCATAGGACAGCCGTGGAGCCTCTACGCAGTTCCATGCTGTGAAGACAAAATTCTTCTTCATGTGAGTGGAACCGTTATTTTTTGTTCAAGTGGAGAATAATCAAATTAATATAACCTTAAGCTGTTTCAATGATCAGGAAACAAATAAAATGTGAATGTGACAGCGACTTACCATCACTGATGGCCAGGCAACACAGCACCAGGAATAAGACTGCAACAGCTTTCATGTTGTCTCTGAGTCTGTGCTCTGCAGTGCGCCTCTCGATCAACTTCTCGCTTCTCTCTGTGGAGCTGTTGTTCTACTACACGTCTGCTTCGAGTAGCGTTTATATATACTCTAACCCCATGCTAAATTCCAATCAAAACAGGTTTTCCAAGCTGTTCGGGGAAACGAGGAAGTAATCTATACATTTACCAGTATGTTTAAATTTGAAATATTCAACTGTTGTGACATCTTTGAAAAAAATACTGGTGAGGTACATTTTCAAAGTTGCTCTAGATTTGTTTTTGCTGTTTCACACCTTGACATTCACCCTAAACCAGGAATGTTGTAACAATTTGCCGCAGTCACATGTGACAACCCAAGATTGACGAGCTGACATCTTTTCGGATGATTGCTGTGGTGCAGCTTTTAAACTGGTTGCGGATACACAAAAAGAGCCAGACTTCCACCCAAGTATTAGGACCATTGTAGGTTTAAAATATATATATAATAGAGGTGGGGAAGAGGGTATATATATATTTTAAATACTATTGGTAATAAATTGGCAATAAAATATGGTCTAGCGATTAGGATTCCTGGTTTTCACCCAGGTGGCCTGGATTCAACTCCCGGTATGGGAACACCCTTCACCACACCCTCTCCTTCCAAACATGAAAAATAAACTGTGGTAGCTTCAGTTGTTAAAAACTCAAAAGGTGTTTAGTTTGTCCAGTCTGGACTGATGTAAAAAACATGGCGGCCTTTAAATATAAAGGGCTTTTTCTGGGGTAAAGAAAACTACAATTCATACAATTTAGATGAAATGAACTAGTGAAAACATCATGAGGATTATTCTACATTAAATTTCTGCCAATAGTTCCCTTTCACCTAAATCTTACACACTGGACATTTAAAACATAAGTTTTACCCCTAAATCTTGACTGTAGTATCTCTCCCTGGAATAAAAAAAAAAGCTAAGACTCCACCCATACAACATACCAATTAGATTGCTAATGCTGAGCTAAGTTATCTAAGTTGTTTTGCAAGGAGGGACTAATCCAGCAGCATCACAAACACTTGTCAACAGAAATGTCGTATGAAGTAGAAGCCCCTCCTTCCCTCCAGAGTTTACCAATGGCGGTTAACCAGGTTAGCTCCACGGCAGATTCAAGGTGTGGTTGAGCTCTGAGCTTGCTACTGAACCTAAGTTAACTGGTTAAAATTATTTGTTGCTCACAGTAAAAAAAAGGTCATTCTTGGAATGTGGTGGGATGGAATAGTCACCGGTTTCGCAGTAAACCAAGGTGAAATTACTGATAGGTTGTCCCTAGTGACACATGTAAGGCGTCCATGGATCTCTTGAAAGGCGCTATATATATTTAAATGATCATTATTTATTGTTGATAGTTAGATGTATACCTTTCGAATTCGTAATTACCGTGTTGATTTGGTTTATTCTGTCCAGGTTCAACCAAAGTTGCAAGTATCCAAGACAAAGACATGATAAGAAACCTGGATTAGTTTTATGTGCAGTGAAAACATGGCAGAGGCATTGGAAGGCAGTATAAGGATTACAGCTATTAGTGCTCTGGGCATGACTAACAATTGCTAGCATTAACTGTTGCTAAATTGCATTTAACAAAAACATTGATATTTTGGCTTGACTTTCAGACATCTGGGGTCTGTATTCAATTTAACAAGTTGTCTATGTGTCTCTCACTCACTTATAGGGATAGTTCAACCAAAAAATGAAAATTCACTCATCTACTCACCACTTTACTGATGGGTGGGTGAAGTGTTTGAGTCGGAAAAACACTTTCAGTTTCAGGGGTAAATAGTGCTGCTGCCAAATCCAGTAAGATTGATAGAGGTGAGTAGATAATGGGTGAATTTTATTTTGCGATGAACGATCCCTTTAATCATAAATCAGAAACATACACTCACACTGAGATAAAACGGAGTGCACAGAAATTACATGAATAACATTACAATGGTAACACTACTTTCTACTCCAGTTAATCATCTACTTCCGTGTAAGAGCCTCTCCAAAAAAAAAAAACGTCTCTCCATTATTTTTATTTGTCTTCTGTCAGTGGTAAGTTAAAATTAGAAAACACAGCTATTTAATTTGCTGTCTTCAAAACTATCATGTTATTCTGAATTTGTTTACAAAATATCCTACATTATTCAGAGACTTTTGGAAAACAAGACGCACAAGTTTGCACATTTTATTTATTTATAGTTTGTGAGCATCAGCCGTCTTTTCATTGCAAAAAAGCTTCTTTAGTAAAAAAGCCTTCCTTTTTGAATGTTAGCATTGCACATGTGATGTAGTGTTGGCTTTATTACTTTATTACTTTTACCAATGATAAATATATAATTCATATAGAAAACTTGGTGAAATCTTTCAGTTTTTGTAGGAGTACTTTGTGAACATTTTCTATACTTTGGTGTCTATCATGGTGCATTCAATCTGTGTAGCATTGATGTAGAAATAAGAACATTTAACTGTTAATCCAAATATTCTCTCAAGCATGAAATGACAAAAAAAATGATTATGGGTTAGGGTTAGTGATTTGTAAAGCAGTCAAAGGAAAAATGATGAAATGTTATTTCCATCTGATTGTGTTTAAAACAAGAATTCTTTCAATTGGTTTGATTCTGTTAAATCCATTACTTACACTTATAGTTTATTGGGTTGCAATAAGCTACAGTGGATAACCCATGTGGTGTTTTGCATACACAGATATTCTGAGATTGTAACGCATTGTGTGTTTTGATGTATTCAGTGGCTTCTGTGTGTTTTGCATATAGACTGGCTTCGAAAATTGAATAGACACCTTCAGTAATTAATCTGCAGTGAAACTTTTTATAAGTGTTTGTGATTTGAACATTTAGTTGAAGGAATATTAGGTTTTTGGCAAACGTTACACTTCTTTTGTACATTTTGTTTGGAGGATCCAACAATGCTTTACTTTGTCTTACTTCAAAAGACCACATTCACTTCAGCACAAACATATAGATGCAACAAGGCAACAATCTGATTAAATTGCTTCAAATGATCTTTTATTAACATTGTAGAGAGTACAATAACTGGCAGAAAGAGTTTCAACATGCTGGGGATTCTTCCGAAATAAAACCAATTCAACCTAATGTTACACATGCACATTTGTTTGACTTACAATT